TTATCTAAAGTATAGAAGATTTATATCAACATAGGAAAGGACCATTTGCAAATGAATCGTTATGATATAATTAACATAGACATTATTCGTTTTCACATTTTCTACTTTAACATACAAACAAAAAATATGTTAGGGGAAATTCGAATACAAACGACAAATTTGACAAGAAAGATATCGACTAGAGCATACATTATGTCTGGTTGTATCTAATCTATGCATTCAATATTACAAATATTATTATTTGAAAGCTAAATCTAAATTCTATTCTAAAACGAATAGAGAAAATCTTTCAAATCAGAAACATTATGTTTTGTTTTTTTTGTATAAATTAAATCAAAACCTTCAATTTAAAACTTGCCAGTACATGTTTCTCCCATGGAATTGAAAGAAGTAATATCGCAAAGCTATTTCCGTTTTTCTGTTTTTTTGTCTTTTGTTTGTTTTTTCTTTTCTTCCGTTTTTGTCATATTACCTTTTTCTAAGGTATTCACTGTTACACAGAAACGCATATTGTATGATGAAGATTGTTGTACAAATGAAATATGCTGCATGTTTATTGACTTAGATAGTAGTATTCGATATTTTAAAAAAGATCAATATATTTGCTATAAATAAAGATATCATTAAAGATAGTGTAATCGTGAATTGTATCAGTCACAGGACTTGTCTAGTCTATCACCATTTCATCTCGACTCACTGTCAGCATACACAGAAACAAAACTTTGCACTTAAACACAATACATTACATAATAATAAATACATAGAAAAGGTAATAGACAAGTTAATCATATCAATGCAATATCACTTTCTTTTTTTCTCTTTATCATATTTTGCAGCTTTCTTAATTTGATAAAGTACCAAAGGGAGGCAAGTCACATAAGATTTCGGAGCGTATGATATGAATTACATACCCATTATTTTCTACTACGGTTTTTGATACGTATACGAATATACGTTTGAAAACTTCTTACATGATAGTACAAATGCATGGGACTAACAGAGCAAGTGATGATCTACCTGATAACATGCCGACTCGTTGATGATATGAAAAACATTTTAAGATGTTGATCATAAAAATACATCATTTAAACATTGAGCTTAGATTGCTGAGGTTTTACACTGCACTCTGATACACCTAAGGTTATTTTACACCCGATCGTGGTAATAAAATTGAAGATGTCTTTAAAAAAACTTTGAAATTTTGTCAGAAATCTTTTTAAACACGACAAATATTTCACTTGAATAAACATAACAAAACATAACACATGTGATATTTGATATGCGTTGCTAATTATTTCAGAAGTAATATCTTAAATGCATTTTAGAGTTACATTTAAATCTAGATACCAATCTTAAACGGTATAAATTTTGAATGATGTACATAATATTAGTGCACATTGTAAAACTATCTATTAAGGTTATTTTGTATATTAGAATTCATTTTGAATCTAGATATAAATGTTTTCTGTTGCTTTTTGTGAAGACATTCTGTATACGTCTACAAATGAAACATGTCATGAACATAATACCTGTAAAATTAAGATTTTCGTTAAGTCGTATAAAAATTATCATCGCCACTAAAATAAGACGATACGTAGATATAAAAGCAAACAGAGTAATAAGTCGAAACAGCAGACTTAGTATGATTGGATCTGCAGACGTGATTTTGTGAACATTGCAACAATTCTCATGTCAATTAAGGTGATTAATGCATTATTGTATAATTGTATTGGAATTTATTGTAGAAAAAGGACCAATTCAAAAAGGGTAACTTTAAAGCTTTACAATTATATTATACACTCCTTTTTTTTAATTGTAGCGCAGAAAAATAATTTAGAAGGCAATACTGTTTTACAATGTCAGCAATAAGGCAATAAGCACAATATTGCTTTTGGTTGATGCTGTTAATAACTTTATTCGGTATAATCTAACAAATCTGTATTGTAACATTTTACTCAGTAAAACATTAAATATCATGAAGTATAAGTTGAACATAGAAAAAGTGTCAGATTTCAAAAACTACTTTGAAAAGTGAAGCAAGAAACACGACTTCCAAATTACAACCCTTTAGAATTGAAACAATTGACATAAAGGGGTGCTTACTTTCCCAGTCTAAAATCGTTATTAAAACAACACAAAAATTAAGTTAAACGTAATAAGGTTAATATAGATGAGGCACACGTAGCAATACTGAAATAATAAATTGATATAAATTCAAACTAAAAAAGCGATCTGTCGTACATGATATTCCCGCTTTGAGCGTCATTTATAATAATTATATGCTGATACATTACGTAAAACAAGTTTTTGACTTTAGGCAATATTTTTTAAGAGCTGAAAATGCCATTTTAACAATTACTTTTTTTGTACGACGCTATGATCATGATGACATAAGCTAGATTTAAGGATAACGAAACGTGATGCATTAGTACACAAAACTGATGATGTGTTAATTGAATATACTAGACGCATTTAGAATACTGCGTGTGCCATTACTAGCTTTATAAAGCCACTAACTTGGATTATGTTTGCATTTATCTAAATGCGTCGTCTTTAAATGATTTACGAAACAATTTAAATAATGTTAATTAACTATTGATACTTACTTGAAATTTTGCTATTTTACCGTTTTACGCGTTTTAAAGTACATCAAATATTTTGTAATATATAACCCGTTCGTAATATTTAAATCGCATGGGTCACACTATTTTATGGATATGTATATTCTGTGGATGATTAAATGATACAGTACATATAAAATATACTGAATTATTTGCTGCGAGTAAGATGGAATATTAGCTCTTAGAATAAGTGCAAGACGTTATATTAGTGATTTCTTTTTAATCTTTTTAGTACGAATTAAACACTTTAAAGTGGTTACCTACCATACATGTATATGGTGTTTGATGTACGAGCCAACACAGGTAGTATTTCCTATTATCACATCAAATGTTGATATTGATATATAAGGCATTGAACATCATAATTTGATTCGATATGTAATATACTTGTTCTCAAGCCATATTCGATTGATGTCATATTTCATATTTAAATCTCATATTTTCAAAATAAAAAAAAACGTATTTGTAAATAACGCAATGGTAGCTTTGTATTCTCGGTGTTAAAATTAAGATCTTCTATTTGTTAGATTATTTGGTAACACTTTGCCGACAAGATGTTGTGTTCAAAGATAATTGCACATCTCTATTTGACACTAATGGTGATATTACTGATTTTCATCATTTATTCCGAAGGTAAGCATTTTTCCACTTAATATATGAGTAAATTGAGTAAATGTTTTAAGAATAATTTGAATCGCCAATAAGCAAAATGATTCAAATAAGCATTCAATTATTATATTTTTAATGATATATTTTACTACATATCAGGAAATAAATATTTCGTTTAAACACGTAATGGTTATTTCTGTCGGTTCCATATTGGATAAATATCGGATGCGATTCAACCACATATTTGCATAACCATTGTCTATAAATATGTTTGCATAGTGTATTATAAGTCTTGAAAGAAATCCATCCTTTACAATTATCACGAAGATATATATCACAATATAATCAAAAATTATGATTTTATCTTTCGTTAAATGCTACGATAGGATAAAAACATGATAATGTAGTATTATTCTATGATTCTTTATCATTGTTAGTCAGCACACAAGTTTTTACTTACCATAAGACTTTAATGTTTTTGCATTTAAATCACAGACGTAATGTTTACCCGTTTTAATGGTTACAAAAATGTAGATGTATATAAGATTTTAATCAGTCACTAATCTATAAATTCATGTCTGTTAACATAATTAATTTAGATATTTTCTCGTATGTCTATATAATTATTTTGGTTGCCTTTTATAGCTGCTTCAAGAGGGGTTTGTAAAAGGCCAACGCCCACTACAACAACACCAGCTCCTGATTTAACAACAGAAGCAACACCTTAGGTAGAGGATCAGTACCTTAGAGCCCCGAATAACAATAATATTCTAGTGTACAAATTTTACATCGTAGATGTATCAATATCTTCTGAGATGTTTTACATAGATATTTTCATTTACATGATATTGACAATGATACGATGCAACCTTCATTCATTATCTTACTTTGATGAAGAAAACATTTTAAGGGCGCTTATAAATTATCTATCATAAAAATGCATTTTATCAGAAGACATACTACAACAATAATCCATCGCTTATCGAACTCTGTCATTCTGGTCTTTCTGCCTATGTTCCTGGACATTGCGGAGACATTGCTGATCCTTAAATATGTATACACCAGGAAATAAGCTCAGCACACATGGCTTTTTGCCTCAATTTTGACATGACCATACCTGAAATTGTAAATTTTATTTGGGCAATGGTACGAACCACCTGTAGTCAACCTGCAACAACTGAAACAAGCTCTGCACAAGAATGGCAAAATTTACCTTGAAATCGCATAAGACGCCTTGCTGGTAGTATAAAAAATGTTGAGGCTATCATTCGGGCACTTGGCGGTTACACACGTTAATAAAAATTTGGCTACATAATGTGATTTTAGGTGACGTAATCGTCAACCAAAAATATCGACCAGTAAATGTTTTGTAAATGCTCCAACACATACTTATAAACACTTACATTTTCTGGTAAAAGAAACAACACATTTGCTTATGCTTCAACAATTTGGTTAAGAAGAAACTATACTCATATATTTACTGGTTTGTAATGACTAAATTGATATCGCTGCTCATCAAATTATTATTTCTTAGGTCAATGAAGTCTCATGACAGTGACTTCAATCACAACAAATTTTAAATTAACGGGTGTGCTTTACTTATTTCCAAGTGTATATTTGAATACTCGTAAAAATTTCTAAAGACTAAGATTTTTTAACTTTCATAATTTCTAAATACATTTCACTGAGAACATATTTAACAGTCTCTCACATATGTTATCATAATGTTGCTCAGAATTTAAAATTATTTCGGAACATGCAAATATGTTTGAATGAATAACAAGAACTCTTAAAACGGAAAACCTCATAAAAAGTATAGCGATAGCAAATGTCAATATCTTTGACGACTCTTTGCATGGAATTTGGATTTTAAACTATGTATCATAATTTAATAAATGTAGAAATTATCGGTTGAAATTTGTGGGGCATGATATAAACATAGGGATTATTTTTCTTTTTTAGCTATAAACGCCCACAGATGAAATATCTACTCCAATCATATCATGATTTAAACCTTATGTAAATCATATCTCCGAGTCTATTCATTCTGTTTATAAACCGTCTATGGTTATTATGAAAACGTTTTAAGATTTAATTGTAGATAAGTTTGATATTTAATATTGCATTAAATAACTAGCCCGCCTTCTGATAATTTTTTATCCATGATTTTAATATTTCAAACTAAATATTACTTTATTTGTGAAGTTACACTGCATTGAACATCTTTATCTGAAAAATATCAATACAGAAATAACGGCCTGTTTTCGGTTTTTCTTTTAATTGTATTGCTTTTATATTACTAAAGCAAAATTGAACTGTAAGTGCAAGTATATTTCAGAGCTTACACAGATGTCACTAAATTATCGAGAATTGTTTATATATCAACGAAAAGTCCGTTGGACATTCACCCAATTATATATATACGTACATGTTTAAATCAATTTGAAAACATAAAATCTAATTAACATATAATTTATTTTGCTTGATAGTTATCAACATTGATAAAATAAAAATCGTTGAACTTGTCATTTGAGGCAAGATACGTTGCATAAGTGTCGGGTTAAAAATGGCTTTTTAGTAGTTCCTCAAAATTGTAATATTATATTTGACAATTACATTGTATAATACTTGAAACAGTCCGTGTGGTAACAAACAAACAAACAAACAAACAAACAAACAAACAAACAAAACAATAAACACACAAATAATGGATAAGTCTTTTAATATTAGTTAATAAGTACAGAGGGTTCTCTACCCAGGGCTGCACGTTTGATTTTTATATGTGAAACGTGTTCAGAAACAACTTTCATTAACGTAATTGCTACATGTATACTTCCCTTTAGATAACCCTAAACAAGGATACAACTGCATTATTTTACTAACAATTTGTAACTTTATTTTCATTTGGTACGTAACCTCATAAATTAATTGTACAATAATTGTACCATTATTTGTTATAAAATATAAAATGGAAATAGAAAAAATTGAGATATCCCCCTTATCATGAACATCTTTAATGTCAGGGCTTATTATAAGTGACGTAAGCTGCAAATTAACTTTTCATGAGACTTACATTCAATCATTCAATTTTAAACCGACATGAAATAACTATTTATATTTATGCCTTTCTTAGATTGTAAAATAAAATAAAGCAATAAAATAATTCTTTGTGCCGAACTATCAAAGTAGTCTTAAAACCAATATCAGTAACAGTTGTGCATTGTACAATGAAACTAAATTTAAGATTTTATTATTTGCCTACTTTCGGCAACATCATTCCTGTTATATTCACCATGATTATACAAAAAGAATATTGTAAAGTGTTATTTCAAAATTTTATTTCCATATGCGTGCAGGTAGATATTATGTGATATGAGGTGATACGTTTTATAATGTTGATAACGATCTTCATTTGGGCTTTTTCTCTTAAAGCGATATTTGTACAAAATATATGTGAAATGTTGAAGCATTAAATCTTGATAGGATTGTAGTGTCAGGTGTATAAAATTTGATTTATAATTGAGTGTTTCAATTAAAAAAAAAATGTAATATATACGTCGTGTGTGATCAAAATTTATACAATCGCCATATCTGTTAGATTGTTATTTAATATTGAAATTCAATAATAAGTCGTTTTATTAATTACATGGAATAAAATCAACTGAAAGAAATATAACCAAGCAAAATCATTCATTGTAAACTGTATAACGCCTTTATTATTAGCTTATGAAAACAAATTGGATGTTATTTTGCTTTTTTACATTTTATTTTCAAAATTCTTATCTGATATAGCTAAACACCCTTTAATTTGGTTATAAAATTAAAAAAAAAAACATTTTGGTGGTAATAAATATTCTTTCTTTCTTTATTAATATTATTTTAGGAACAATCTTGTTTAATTGTTTATTCTTCATATAACACACAATCCCGAGCAATTGTGTATACTATTATGTAAAGGTCTCGGCATGAGTTCTTATTAAGTTATTTATCAATTTTCCCGAATTCCACGAAGTCCCTTTTAAAGATGGAACAATGCATTCAGGATGATTATCGTTGAATATTATGTACTGATTAAACAATTAAACATCTATAGGTTTTCATTTATAGAAATAACTGAATTTGAAATGTAAAATAAAGTATTGTAGCAATGTACATGTACTTATACAAATGCTTGGTCAGAGAAGTTTTCTGACGAAATTAATATTTAAATCGAATTATCAATAAATCATGTGTTTTTATATTAATTGACAAGTATTTCGGAATAAATACGTATTCTCGCCGCGCATTATAAGTAACAGTTACTAAAATAACTCAAGCGGTATAACTAACTTCATTGATATTTGAAACTTTTGTTTTGATTCTTCAAATCCCTTCACTTCTTGAAATCATTGTACAAGCGTGAAACATGACGCATTCAATAGTTTTTGTCATATTTATTGAGTCAAATATAATTTTAGTGTCGTGTTAATTCTATTCATATATTTACGTAATGGTAAATAATACATCGTAAATACATACACATAACATGATCAGTGTTATGCAAATAAAATTAAGATGTTTTCATTGAAAATATTATTTATTCATAGTGTTGAATGTAAACTCTTCAACGAACAAACAAATGAGACGAAATATCCATCTTACTGTCGCTTTTGTTAACTGTATGTAAGTTTGATGTATTCCTAGGAATTTGCATTGTTGTAATAAATATATTACTGTTCGCCCTTTGTTCTTTCTTTTTTCCTAATAAGGTGAATTGAGAGCCTTGTTATTCCTTTCTACATACATGTATAAGATATAATCCTATTAAGGTAGTCTTACAGTAATGTTTTCCCGCAAAAAAATCAAACATCGACCAAGATTGTAATAAATCGGTCATTTCCAAACGTTATTATTCACGATATTCGGTATTCACTAACTTTTAATCGTTCATAACCGCTTCATAGCGCTTAAGGAGGAGTGATTAATACATTGTAAATAATCTAATGCCCAAGATTAAAAAAATAACGTTCTGGAAATAACTGATTTGTTAAGATATTGGCCGATGTTTTTGCGGGAAAGCATTACAATAAGACTTCCTTAAAAGCTAATAAATCAACATGTTACAGGAATATGTACCGAGCAGTCCTACACAATTCCTAGATGTAATTCTACATAAGCAGTAGAAAATGCCGTATTGAACACACAAGGGACAGGGGACAGGCAGGTAAAATTCAAATAAGGGCTTGGTTCAAGTGGGTGTGTATTGCTGAAATGCATACTTGAATATCCCATACAAGTTAAGTGAAAAAACAACCCCTGGATCATAGCAAATCCTGAAATAGGGACAGTGCAATAATTTGCATTCTCCCCATGATTCCGCCCTTCTATTCGAGAACAAACAACAACATACATATGAATTAACTTCTTGCAATAGTGTAAAGAAGACTATTATTGAAAAATATCATGACAAAAGATCAAACGATAAGAAAAAGGAAAGTGAATGCAGTAATAGATATGTCGATTTGCAAAAAAAAACAAAAACAAAAAACAACAAAACAACGTCGTCGTGAATTTTGGCCTTTGTAGTTTCAATATCCAAGTTTTGATAAGTTATTCTATGTTTCACAGTTTAACACAGTACTTGTGAGGATCCGTTGAGATGGTGATGTGGACCGCCAAGGCACACTAAGGTTAGTGTAGCTGTCTCCAAATTATGCATGTATAATGTTTCAATGCGTTCTGGTGTTGTACAAAATGTTAACGTCTTTATCCAAGTCTGATGCATGTATTTGAGTTTTTTTAGAAATAATGTGTGTTTTTGCCTGGTCTTTGCGGCAGGAAAAACGTTACAAGAAAATGACATGAGTGCCTGAAAAAAACGTCGTATATAATGTAAACGTAGAATTATTATTGCATATATGCTATATTTACAGTATGTACGGATTCCAAGACAATTAAGTTCTATGGTTTTGCACGTTGCATGCGGTCTTAAAAGATGTATAAAGCTGAATTCTCGCTTCACAATTAACAATGTTCAAAATAATAATTGTCATTCGATGAAACCTTTAAGTCGGAGGTCAAAATGTATCAGTTCTTTTCACCAGACAGGTAAATGAACCATATTTGCTTTTAGAAAGGAGCTACTATACTGTATTGTTGCACTACCCCGAGATTTAAACTATAGGTAAACAGATGTGTCTAACCGAACTGAGACAGTAGATAAACCAGAAAATAGAAGAGCTTCATTCGAGTCTTTGAACTCGGCGACACTGAGCACTTGACTGATGACATTCTTGTATACACAACGACGTATAACCTTAGCAAACAAAGTACAACGAAGAAGTCATATAATAAAAGTGTTATAGTATAAAATCTTCGTGTTGGGATATTTTTGTCTTTTACGCGATGACTTGTTTGTTTTGATACTTTGATTGATGTTGCTTGTACACAGAATGCACGTGCTTGCTCCGTCACAAAGCTCTCCATCGTCAAATAAATGTTATATCATAGTCAACATAATTGACTGACTATAAGTTTCACCAAAAGCAGTGTTTATATTTGAAAGAATATATAATGATAATGTCAAATATCCGTTTCTTTTATTTTTACAATACAAGCACCGACTGAAGAAACGTTTAATCATATCACATGACGATTTTAATTTTATCTTAAAACATCAATAAATCTATTCATTATGTTTATATGCCGCCTAGTATTATGAAAACATTTTAGATTTAAATTTAGATACACTTGGTACTTAATGTAGCATTAAATAATTATCCCGCCCATATAATACTTTAATGTTTGAATTTGTATCTTTTGAAATACTTCATGCAAATAACATTGCGTATATAGATGGATAAATAAATAAACATGAATAATTTCTGTAAAACACATTCAGTCAAGTCACATTTTATTACAATTTGAATTATGTTGAATCGGGCCAGACGGAGAGTGATTACTGAAAAGGAGAATTGAATACTTTGGAACAATTTTTTGTCATCAAAAGGGCAAAAAAAAAATGATTTGATAAGTCCTATAGCATGTAGCTCGCAATTGTTTCACATCATCAACAAAGGGTCTCTTATAGTTACATTAAGAAAAAAAGAACTCGTGTGATTAGACATTTGACTTACAATTTACACTAATGGAAGAAAGTTGTACACTTATAATTAGTAATATAAAAACAAATCATCTTATAAAGGCAACAGCCCGACATTAAAAGGGCAACGTACGCAAATATATGTATATGTAAATTTTTTAAATAGGATGTTCACCAGTAATTATGTTAAGCGACTACACTGACTTAACATGATTTATTGATCCGAAATGTGACAACATATTAGTTATCACTTAACACATGACATTTTTGATGTTTTAGACGTATTGCCTTTTCTAACTCAATTAATCGACTACTTTGAAAAATAAATATTTCTTAAGATATTCTTTTTTATGTATTTCTTGTTGGACTGCTATGTAGATTAGCTATAAAATTAGCTTCATGTTTCTAAAATGTTGAGAGAATAATACCTAAACAAGCGCATTATGTATGCGATGTAACTGACATAATTATTACAATCCATTACATGTATAAATTATTTCTTAAAAGTGGCCTTGCGTGACAATCAATAAATCTGCCATGCTCTTATGTAACTTTAACGTCCGACTTGATGGAACTATTACTTATGTTTAAATTATACATGTACCAGTTCTTTACAGAAAAATTATGAGCTCTGTATCTTTAACTGATAAAATTTATTCATTTTTTCTAAAACAGTAATGGGTGAATAAATTGATGATTAATGAAAGTGTGATTTACCTGTACATTCAAATTATATGCTTTCTTGTCTTTTTTCTTCTTCTTGTACATATCATGTTGCCAATTAAGAGTTCTCTCGTACACAGGAAAATGTGGATAATTTCCTTAACTTTGTATAATTAAGCATTTTGATCTCTTGCTATCATATTCGATTCCGATAAAAAACTAACACGAATCATATAACACTCACTGTAATTACAAATCGCTTTGTATCACATTTGAAATAGATATTTTTAATTTGATTTATATTACTTTTGAACTATCAAATTATAAAATGCGCACAAAATCACACAAAGGATCGTAACGTTAATGTATATTTGATTTCAATTTAATTTGACTTTAAAAACTGTCATTGTCGATTTTCTGTTACATTTAAAATATATGTATCAGTTTAAATCATTTTTTCTTTGGTTGTAGATAAAATGGAAACAATTTTCTATATCTTGTATTCGTTTTTGTTACGATAATCATACGCACTTTCCTTCGCTTTGATACCCGCTCTGTTTGTGTGTGTGTGTGTGTGTGTGTGTGTGTGTGCGTGCGCGCGTGCGTGTGTGTGTGTGTGTGTGTGTGTTACAGTCTATTGATGTATGTTTATTTTAGATATAAATACATTATGTAGCTCTTATCATTTGGAACGCATTTCACAAATAGTATTTCGTAAAATATACCCTGAGGTAATTGTTAAAAAAACTTTATTTTTAACAGTAAGGTATCATTGCAAAATTAAATAATTGCAACGATTATTTCAACCAAATTCAAATATTGAAATATTTTAACGTGTACGTTGTATAAACTGATAATTTATTTAACGACAGTCATTTCAAAGATTTCAACTTCACAAAATCAAAAAAAAAAAAAAAATATCTTTCCATTTACAAAATAAAGTACATAAAATTTATTTTACAGATTTAGTAGGACATTTAAAAAGCGTTTTTGTATTTGAAAACTCGCATATATATTTAGATAAGATTTTCTTAAAAGTTGTAAATCAACTGTCCAGAGTAATAAAGAATTTCCAAGACCAAGTCTTGTCATGATAGACAGTTAAAAATACAAGCTCTTCCACGCATCAAAGAGAACGAAGACGAATATTATTTATCGTAATGAGCGACTTAGAGAAATCTAACTTATATATTCAGATGTTTTTGAATCCGTGAACAAATTAAAATGAAGATATATATTTCATATTATTTGACTGTACATTATTGCAATTCATCAAGTACATGTTTGTAAACGTTGACGTTGCATGTTTTACACATCAACACGTGGTTTGCAATTTTTTCAGTGCGTCCTGCCTTATGGAACCAGATAGCATAGTTCAAAATCATGTAAAAGAAAACTGACAAACTTGACAAAAGTAAGTTTAAAAGGTAATTACTAAATCACGTGTTAATTTGGAATTCAACCTTAAAATTAAGAAAATGTAATATGCAATAGGCCTTAGATACTTATAAGAATATAAACAATTTAGAACGGAAAGAAACATAAATAATCAAATATCATGTACCTGTTGAAGGTTGGTACGGAACATAAAACGATTTTATTTTAGAGGAGACATTATAATTTTTGAGACTGTACTTTGGAGTAATCAATCAGTTAAATTAGGCATATATAATGTCATTCAATTGTACTTTCATAAGGTAATGGTCCTTCCTTGGATGAATTTCAATTTGTCAAATATAACCCGACAGCTTCATATCATATCATTGCTAGAACGGTAATTTAAAAAAAACTATTTCTCCAATGCTTTATGATATGAAAAGAGTAAAAGTTTGTTAAAGTACTGACTAAATAAGATAAACTGATAAGATTATATTTTATAGATAATTGTTGTAATTATCAATCTTAACGTCAGTATTTGTTAACGGAGCAAGGATAATTGGCATATATTTGATTGACACATATACTTATTTAAGAACCAGACCAAGTGTTAATCGCCATTGTAAGAAAACTATAAATCAACACAAATATTAAAGCGAACGCACATGGAAACATGTTAATATGTTTCTCTATTGAAAGAAAACGGTTGGTTTGTTTCATAACAAAACACAGTAATTGTTTCTCTTTGTATGAAAATAAAATAAAAAAGATATAATTATAGGAGTGTCTCAATGATAAGGAGTGATTAAGTATAAAAATAGATTAGCACGATATTTGAAATATGCGCCTTGTTGCTAAATAGTGGAGTTAATTCGTGTATATAAAAAGCAAGACATAAAGGCAAGACGCAATAACAGAAGCTATTTTTGCATGGTATATCACTCGGATAAACCTCTCCTTGTAAGGTAAGAATGTTGAGCGTACTAAAGCTAAACATTTCGTAAATGTTTTCTCTTGACTTTCTTTTAGTTTTAATTTTGTCTTTTTGTTTTTATAATAATGTCAACATCTTGGATATATATAATTTTTTTAAATATTTGTTTCGCCAAAATCTGTACCGATGTCTAACTAGAAGTTGAGAGAATTACAATAAGATTTTAACTTTTAGGTTCAATCCACTTATCATGGAATTGTATAATTTTTTTGTATGTTGTGCAGCATTGTAACTTGATAAATAAATTTGTTTTGACAAAACTGAATATGTTTCATTTACATTTTCTTTTCTAACAGGATTGGTACGATTATTTAACATGTATTATTTGTTGTATTTAGTAAGAGTAAAAATTTGTTAATCATGGATATATGTGTATATACATGTATTAGAGTGCTTATCATATACCAAATACTTCACAGTATTAAAATAAAAAGGCTATTTAAAAATTAAGCTTTAATTTAATCAAGATTGATTTGTTAAGTATGATATATGAAAGTACTTTATAAGTGTCATTATTTTTTTCAGAATCTTGTGTAAAGAAGAAGTTTGGTGACAGTTATTTATTTGATTGTGAAGCTAATATCAATTTGGAAAAGAAAACCTCCAAAACAACATTACAATTATATAGAAATTAATATAGATTTTCAATTAAAAGTACTAATTGTTTGAAAACGCCGCGTGCAGCTTCATTTGATTACACGTTTCGAATCAACAAATGGAAACGATGTTCTCTGTAAAGTGGATTATGCAAATATACTATCTTCTGTTGATAGTTGGTCTCATGCTGAACATCTATGTTCAAGGTAAGATCAGATAACCCTTACTCTGCTAGAACTTAACGTTATAAGCCGTTACAACCGGTATAGAGCCTGGTCAGGCTTTACCAATATCATTTTTTATATTAATTTATAAAAATGTTAGAAAGTAGGTCAATTGAAAATGAAAAGTTCATTTAAGAAATTTACCAAGTTAAGCGTTTATTTTCATTTACCATTTTAACAATACACAAAAAGGGTTCTTGTAAATGATAAATATCTGAGTAATGTCACTCCAACCTGACCATTTTTGACAAAATACAAAGAAGAAACTATTAATGAATAAAAATTATAAATGAATATTTATATTATGAAATTTAATGAATTAATTGAACTTATTAACTAATTTACTTATATACTATTTAATACTAATTTTAGTGGCAAATGCAGCATGCCACCAGACGACTACGCCAGCGCCCACAACACCACCAGCGCCATAGCCCTGACCAGATATTCTGTCATTAACTCGTGAAATTCCGGTAAAGTTCGCCACATTCCGTTCCTAATTCTAATGTGTCGATACGGATACGAAATGTATACTCGCACCTATGCTGAACAAATTTGTACGGAAGATGACGAAATTTGCCGAATTTATACGATATATTGATGAATAATGTATAAACACAATGCATGTGTGAATCTACTAGTCCACGTTACTATGATGTCTAAGCTTTTAACTGTTAATTAATTTTCTGTCAGATTAAATAATGTAAAACTGTTATGTGTGTTTCTATTTTTTAACCCATTGTATAAGTATGTTGGGTAATGATAATTTCCGGAATTTTGCTATCCCCAACAGGACAATCATATGAATATATTTTCATAGCACTTTTACCAATTGCTTTTTTGCAGAACTTATATCTTGTTATAATAGGATAAAAATGTGTAATGTTGAAAAGAACAACCATAAAAACAAGCAATATTTTAAAGACATAATAAAGTGAAATAAATAAATTGTTATAAATAACTGATGCTGACAAAATGTATATAGATACAAAAAATGTTTATGTGACGTAACAACGTAATACTCTGTAGCGTACAGGCAAATACAGAAAATATAACATTTAAATAATAAATCAATCTCTAAGCGAAGAGTAACGGAGCGAAAACAATGATCTGATTTTAATGTGATTGTTTAACCCATTACTTCATGAGCATTTAGTGAAAAATGGCTGTTTTTATTGAAAAGTCTCCCGTTACAAGTTCAAATTGCTATAATACTATAAAAACTGCTTCAACACTAATCAAACTTGGCACACATTTTGACTGGACCATTGCCCTTGCAACAACATGCTCAGGCTTAAATTTTCTGTTACCATGGCAACGAGGGGACATCTCAAAATTGCCAAAAATCACTATTTTGCGTTGATTTTTTCCATCAAAATTGATTTCAAAGTGCTGCAACTTCTCAATGGATTGAGATAGAGTCAAATGCTTTTCAGCGTTGGTTACACGTTACCTTATGATCAATCTGGTGTCATTTATAGCCTCTCACAAGTCCAAAATTTTCTTGGCGATGAGGGGGACTCAGATCCCCTTCAAACCCCCAAACAGAAGGGGGCACATCCCCCTTCTGGCAACCCCCTGATGTATCTTTTGGTTGTGGGGCCGCGCCGAAAAAGAAGTCACTTTTTTTAACAACATTTTTCAAACAAAAACAAGTGTTGGGGGCCTAAATAAGGCATTTTTTCACAATTTGAGACAACAAAAAGGGGGTGAAAAATGCGTTAAAAGGCGTGTATATAACGTAAAGGGTTAATAAATTAAACAGACAAAAATCATTTCCTACTTATATAAATTTAACCAACATTAATGATTTAATATATGTGTACAAAATAATTAAAAGACAAAAATCTTATCCTGTTTTCTTTTACGACTATAATTTATACACTGATGTTCAAAATTAAATTCTGTACATGATTTTTATTAAATACAAGCTGCACATGTGACTTAAATTTGCAGTCAATCAAATTGTCACGGAAAGTAAAAGGAATAAGAGTCTTGCAGTCAATCGTATAGCCTACATTTTCTAAATACTGAAAACCAAAATTTAAAGAAACAACGAGCATAACATAAAAAGAAAATAATGCATGATGGTTTCAACAAAGCGCTGAGTTTAAATTGAGAATATGCCTATAATATTGAGTGCTTGTTTGTTTAATTGATTGATTATACGCCAATTTTAACACATTTTGTCATATCTCGGCGGGTGGTCCATCTAAACAGTAATCCCGGATAACACTCCAATAATTACAATATTCTCCGAGAAAAACCGACTACTAATGCTAAAGTTATTTCAGAGTGAGCGGCAAGAGATGAATAAACATAAGACTCGATGTCCAAGATAAATTATCATTGAAAAACTACGCCTCTCGATCGATGATCGAATCAATGACCACTAGATTATAAATATTATCCTTTCCCTTTTGAGCCATTACCGATGAGAATTTTAAGTTTTCAGAATACAGATTTATTCCATTTTTAATGAATAAGGCAGTAAGAGATAAATACAAAAACATTAAGAAATCTTTTAAACGTAAAGAAAAGATGATGTTAAGAAAACACTTTATCAAATATTGATTGAATTCTCCAACTAGGAAATATGTCGTAGATTGTTGACGTTTCTTCTGATAAATGGTTTGTCTGAAAGTAATGCAAAGATTATGTATAACAATACAAACAATATGCGCGCTTGTAGAACATTAATAATTTTCTGTAATTTTTTACAATTTCATATGCATTTGATAGACTTGTTGTGATAATAAAATTTACATGCATGCTAGCGAATTAAACTAGTTTCACAAGTTTTATATACAGCAAGGTCACGTTCTCCATAACTTCGTTATGAAGAATGACTGTTTATTAGATTAAACCCAAGATAATTTCTAAGTCTTCAGAACATAATATTCATTGCAATTTTCAAGCTTTTCAGCTTAATTTGGTCTATTGTAAGAAAATTGACTTTTATCTGCATTTTTGAGTTTTAAAATTAAAATTTATAAATTAAACATTTCCTTAAGAATATGCAGCATATAAGAACACACAAAGTTTACAAATTTTAGAATAAATCTTAACTAGCTGTTTATGCTCATACTTATTTTAGCCCGTGGTAAAAGTAAGATGTAAATAGATTAATATTTCATACGTACGTGCAAATAAGAATGGGGCGCCTTTGAATTCATCAGAGTCCAAAACACCATTTCCTGTAAGTTCACCAAAAACAGATTATTGTTTAATATCTTATGTTCGAAATAAAATGACAGCTTCCTTCTAAAAGATGCTGTTTCTGTTCCTTTGAGATTTAATTGACTTCTACTTCATTTTACTTTAAAATGGCTATATTGTTAAGCTCTAACATTTAAGAAAGATAAATGCGACAGGTCGTTATAATACAAATAGAGAAAAAGAGAATTTAAAACTTCTTTTAAAACACACTTCTACATGACCAACATGCTTCTGTCAGTTAAAAATCATACCATCAAAGTCTGCAAAGATAAAAGGCTCCCTCAGTTCATCGGGCTCTACGAGGTTGACGCTTGTAAGGACAGCAAATCTGAACTCATCGTTTGTAATTATTTTATCAAGATTGATGTCAAAGTCCGACATCTCGTCAGAAAATGGGATCAATATTTCAGTCATGTCAACCTGTCAATGGAAGAATATGAATAATATGGTAAATAATGTTTAATAAACTAATTATCTTGGTGATTAACAAAATTGACAAATATGTCTTGCTAAGTAGAATAAAATTGCAAAAAATATTATGTTGTATCGATGCAAATTAAATACATTAACTGAACGATAAAGTTAATTATATTTCAAGATTATATCAAGTTCAGCAATACTTTAAGACATTCTTACTTTGAAAATTTAATTCTGTTTCACAAATTCTGCAATAACGCAATAATCACTTGAAATATTTTCTAATATAGTCGACATGTACATACACTCCTTTTACACTTGTCCTTCTTCACATGACACGCCTTCTTACCAAGGGAAACACCAAATGCAATCATTCGATCTTCTTGGCTGGAATCGTTCGATAGTAGAGCTTTACCAATCACTTTTACTGCAAAAGGACAACCGATGCCGTACAATGCCTTTAATAGATAAAATACAAACAAACAAGATTAAACGTACGAAAACGTAAACTTATTGTTTAATAAAACGGATTCAATGCAGTAGTTATAATTGATAAGTCAGAGGATATGTGGCACTGTTAAGCAACGATTTGCAGCTATTGAATCCATTTAAAATGATAACTGGCACAAGTACGTTTCTAACCACGCCTACAATAATCATTTCAGGAACAAAAAGGTCCCGAAACATTTTTCGGAACATTTATGATATGATAAGTAACGTTATTGAAAAGTAAAATGAAAATTTGATAAACAATTGATGAATTTTGGGATAATAGCGGTATATAAATGAATATTTTCTAATCACAATTCTTATTCATCAACATATTTGTATACATTTTATAAAGTGTTGCTAAATTTGTGTACCATACTTATACATGTTATGGATTAAAGAAATAGTTACAATTGTTCCTAACATGTTTGTTTAAAAAATAGTTCTCTCAACTCATATAAATAATGTCACGAAGTCACGAAGTTAACAATATTACCCTGCAACCAGCTCTCTTGATACCGTTGAATGCCTTTGTCGCTGTCTTTTCAATACGGTCACCAAGTTTTTGTATATCCTTAGCAAAGAACCATCCGTCAACTGGTTCAAGCAGTGCTACACCGACTATGATGATGATGACCAAATGTTTTACAGCCATTGTTTCCTATATTGGATGTTAAACTTATTTCAATTCGAGTTATTTATATTGTTGTCTTAATAACGATACAACGTTAACGATACTCTATAATACATTGTTGATGGTCATACTATGATCATTTTTTATGAAATCAAGTCTTACTTCTTTTACGAAAATATAGCAGTGTATTCAGCAAAGGTTATAAAAATCATTAAAGCAATCAACACCAGAATATATGATACTATATATAGTATTATTACTAATCACTAATATCTGTATATCGCTATTGACAATGTATTTGACAACTCCATTTAAGCATGTTATACTACATCTTAACATATCATAACAAGACTTGCTAATTATTATAATGTTTGTCACATTCATGTCATTAATTATGTGACTGACACTCGATGTGAATGACTCACAATGTTGTGCATGAAGTTTTTGTACATAATCGTTTTGGTCCTCCGCAAAATAAACATGCATGCAGTAAACATATGAAATTATGTAATATGTTTAAATTTTCAGCAAAGGTTATACATTTTATGACAACATACTTAATATTTCAATGTTCGAATTGTTTCCACTTTTTCATGATTGAAATAAAAAATAATTTTTTAATTTGTACTTAAATTATAATACATGAAAAACTTCAGTGTCTGTAAATGAATATTAATTATCGTTATATAACAAATAACTCAGAAGTCCAATTAATTAATAATGTGACATTAAATAAATATAAAAGTAATGAAGACAATTATAATAACTTTTATTGTCTTACCTTTACGTTTCGGTATTAATTTAATGTAATGAACGGTTCTCCTTGTTTGTATGAATGAACGACGTGAACGTCAACGTGCGTACTTAACGTTGTTACACAGGGGTTAATCACGTGGGTAATAATTTATAGCAGTTAATTAAGACCGGCATTGCGTTCATGATTGGTAACATGGAAGGTATGGGTTATAATAACAACTCATCATTGAGAATATGATAGTTATTTTGATATCAGCATATACATATAACATGTGTTTGCTAGTTTTGTTCTAATGTGGAATTGTCATGGTAATACGTTCTTTGGCCGTTTTTGGGCGTATGTTCGGATGACACGGCATATCAAGATTGAATTTAATTTTGACCGAATATGAGCAAACATTTTACCTAAGTATGTAAACATTTTTACTGATCTTCCTGAATTGTAATTGTTATTATAGACTTTTATGGTTCCGATGAATAAATGACTTTTGCTGTATAAAATGTTTTAAAGGTATATACTTCATTATGTGAACAAATCTGACATTTTTGTAAAATATGACTAGATGTATATGTAATTGATACGAACATGAAATAATCAAACATGATTTGTATCAATATTTAGAATATTACCAGTTGGTACTATGGTGAAATACACCATTTCACTAATCTCATATGAACTGATATGCGTAATCTCGTAAAAAATGTATATCAAATGCGAGGATTGAAATAATTTCTCATAACATAATGCTTAAATAAAACACCAGCAGCAACAACCCAGCCACCCAAACAAAGAAAGCAACAAAATCATTAATTTGATCCCGTGTATGTTTCTGTCTTTCATTCTAAATGCTTCTGAACTGTAAATTAGCTTTAATTATGAACTAGATTTTTTAAACTCCCTTTATGTTTGAAAAGTGTTACTTTTTCCATACTAAAACTAAATGTTTTAGATTTTGCGTAAATAAATATTTTTTACACAACATGTTATCATACAAATAGATTTGAAGTTTTCTAGGTTCATTAAAATTATTTCAATAAGAATTTCAATACTTGTTTTCTAAGTCTAATGTATTGTGTATGCAATGAAGTGTCGTGTTAGTTCTATTGGATGTACTAGATTAAATATATTATGATGTACTTTATGTATCAATATCATTTCATTTCTTATTCTATTCTTATTCCGTCTTTTTCGACAGCAGTTTCAATCATTCGGTCTTAAATTTAAAGTAAATAAGAGGTTATTTAAAGAATGATTGAAAATATGTTCAAAATATGTCTTGGATAAATATATTTTGCAATTTCAAAATATGGATACGATATTTGGCTGTCAGTTTTAAATTGGCCAATTTTCCATAATCATGAAACGTTGACGTTTATAGGTTCTTTTTGTATATTCATGAATGTATTTTAAATAGACATTTTAATTACTACTTGTAGTTTTCGTAAAACGAAATTATTGATAGACAAGTTGCACCTGCTATGTGCAAATTTTTACTTTGTAAATTGCATAATTGAAAAGAAATTACTGCAAATTATAATAAGAGGTTTTATTTTGAAATTATCTTACATTTGTCATAAACATGTCTTTTCATATAGTAATTTAAAATTATAGTATTTGGACATGTTCATTTGTTAAAAAATATTTCAAATGGTATATTTATCTTTATTTTTAAGATATGTGATTCAAATGCGTGTTCAATTAGATTCGGCCATAGTTATGAGGAAACAAATTATTTCTAGTAATTTTAACGTCATTTTACTTGATGCAATTCACCACTTATCATTTAACTGATTTGTTATGTTGTCAATGTCAAAGAAACTTTTGTGTTTATTTTGAATTTTGACTTATTTTTTTTAGCTCATAATATTACTTTAAATTCATATGCATGAATCTTTGGTACTGCTCATGTTTTTTATCGCAACAATGCAGTGAGACATTCGGCATCGTTTTTTTTTATCAACAGTTTTCCACCTTTAGATAAAACGTCATTTTTGATAAAACATAATAATTTAACGGCTGCTTTATAATGCGTGTTTCATTATGTATCAGAAATGTTCATGCAATAGTAGGTAAACTGATTAATATGAAGTCGAAGTTTGTAATGCCAAGAAGGAAATGAAGATGATAACTTGTATATATTAAATCATTTTGATACAGGGTAAATAAAGGTTTCTAAGTACTACTGATGGTGAAATATCAAGTTTAGTAATGATGTTGATTATTCTTATCTTAATTATTATTATCATCTTTAAGACGACAACAACGATGAAATCGACGGCTATAAATATTATTATAATGATGCTAAGGGTGACGAGAGGAAAATTGGTAATACCTGATTAAATATGTTTGTAAATGCTAATAAAAATATTAAAACCACATTTAGATAAATTGCGATGTTCCACTTAAAAAGGAAACCAAATCGGAATGTGTAACTAGTATGATATAATGAACAAAAAGTCATTTACAAAGAAAAAAAAGTTATCATATAAATGAAAAACGATCGTTTTCTTTTTAATTTTGGTTTTTAACACACATCGATAGATAAATCAAATCAACAATCGAAATGCCTTATTCCAGTAACCGTAACAGTATTACATTAAAAGGAAGTCTTTTCTTCCGTGTTATTTTAGCAATGTTCGTAAAATTTCCTTTGAAAAACAAAGAATCTCTATAAAATTGAGAAACTCTTCGTAAAATGTCATATATTAGTGGCCTTACATTTGAATTAAGGGACACACAACAGAATTGTTAAAACCTTCTAATATTTGCATATCGACGTATTCGCTGTAGAGATTGAATAATAAGTTTTATATAAAAAGTCTTGTGTTTCATCCTATCAATAAAAGCATTAAAAGAACTGAAAACCATCGAAGCATAAGAGATTTATATTAACACTAAATAGTAAGAGGGGTCACTATAACTAATTATATGGTTTTATTTATTTATAGATAATATTTCTTTTTTGGTGTGAATCTCTTTAAAATGTTTAAACACCATCCATTCTTGTTTCGAAAATAGCTGTAATGACTTTATATATCTAATCGCAATTTCTCGTGTAAGTAACTTGGAGGAAAATTGTCTCGATTTGAATGTTTTGAATTAAACAATGCGCTGGAGTCAGGACTCAATACACGGATTGACAGTTTCCGAACTAGCAGACGACAGGCTATTCTTATCAGTGGAATTGCGAGTAAAGATAACGGATTGCGTATCTTACTGTATAAAATGTATGTAAAATGGTCTGACTATTGGTAGGTTTAACCGTAAATGTAAATACCTTCAGTGTCAAATAATGTGTTGAAATATATACTGAGACGAAGCTAACATCACAAGCTTTTCATTGGTGTAATAAATTTTAAAATCTGACATTAAATCGCCCCTAGCTAGCGGTTTAAAAACGGCTAAATTTGCATTGTTTTATCATTACATCGAAGTTAAGGGAAACAACTCGTGTTTTTTCACTCGATATACCTCGCTTATTTACGTAGTTCATATAGAGACTGTCAATGGGTGTACTCTGTCAATTCCTGACAAAAAGCCAATTAGATATTTTTAATTAAATCTCACAATCCAGTAATGACAATATTGTTCCTTGATATGTAACTTTGATTTTTTTCGTTTTCAAGTTTTGTTCTGCACAATACTTGGAGGTACTTTATTCTAATTGTAAACTGTCAACAGCGTGAAGAAATAGGACAATTCAAAATGTGGTGCCTTTTTATATATTGTATGAACATAACATCTTGATTTGTGTTAAGATAAATATATTAATTTAAAACGTTTTGTATGCATGTTTTGTAATACAAGTTCATCTGATAAAGTGATGCTTTTCTGTTTGAATCATTTGCTTACTTTTATATACTTTGAATGGCTTTCAAGAATAATAAAAGACTGTATAATTTTCAAATTTGTCACATGTTTTAATTTATGTAAAACTATGTAAATCATCCAACTAACCGTAAAATGTTAATGTCTAAATGAAATGTTTTCTGACATGATTTAAAAGTACTTTTGAATGCTGAATAAACGTATATCAGTTAAATGCAGTCCGATAATTAAATAAACAAGTAATCATACGGAATATCTAAATCTGTTTGAATACCTGTCACTTAACAAAACATTTTGGACATAATGAGCAAATACTCGTGTATATAAATATATAAATACTACGGATTCATAAACTTTTCTATATTTGTTAATACATTTTTCACGACTGATGTTTCAAAAACGTATTTATTAAAAACAGTGTTTAAGAAACAAAGTATGCATTCATCACGCATATATTGGAAGAAACTAAACATATGCAGTTCGCTACAATTCGCTACTTTCTTTACATCGTCAGTAAATTAATCTTCAACAAATATCACCAACCACTTGACGGCTAAATGCTCTCTCCTAATTTGAAGGACTTTGTGTTTATTGTACGTATTTGCTCAATACATGTTATTAGATTAGAACAGAATTACATCTTCGAACTAAACTAACTGTGTGAGACCAACACAGGATTAGAGCACCACACTAAATACAGTTTTCCTTTATATACCAGACAATGCGCTTGAATGATTAAATGCTAAATTATCGCATTTTCTCTCAACGGAATGAACTTTAAAACATCTAATTCATCATTTCACACCGATTTATAACCGACAATGAATGAAAAATGTAAGAATCGGCGAAAAAATTAATAACACAATATGTGTTTATTTTGCTATTATGATTTCGACACTGCATTGAGTTAAATCCAAACGTAACAGAACGGATTCAACATAGCAAAGGTAAGAATCAATAGTTTATTCGTAGCTGGAGAAAATTGCTATTTTTTCTTTGTTTGTGTTACTTTCTTGCCTTCATTTTATTAATATACATGTTTGCACAAACTTTTTTACTGGTAGTTTACTCTAAATTTGTACGATCTGCAATAAAGAGCAAATGAAAAACATTTTAAGACATATTGGAAGGTTTTCTGTTTACCTGTTGATTGTAATCGTATAGTTTTATGATTTGTTCCATAGTATTTATTTCAACGAATTTATTTTCAACTTGGTTTATGTAGTACCAAATTTTAATTTACTGCATTTGTTTATAATGATGTGCTAAATATTACAACCCTTTTGTGTAAAGAAATTATTTCAGAACCAGTTATAACTGTGTATTTTAAATCGCTGACTGAATGACACGCAATTAGAAAGGTAAGCAAGTGTAATTTTATAAAATTACAAAATGTCGCTTTTCATTAATCAGACGTTAACCTTATCAAATATATGAACAGAAGTAGGTTAGCTAACACCCTTTACACATGATATTGTTATGACCACACATTAGATTAGGCTATATCATATTTCCATTACAATACTTGTTTAAATGATAAGCCTAAATACCACCCATCTCTACTCTTTCTTATTTAATTACTCTACTCAAATAGCAAACTTGTATTGAAATATAAGCTTACCTTTTGAAATGATATTATAGTAAATAACAAAACATCTGCAAAATGAGGCAACATATAGTGTTCAACCTAATACTGAAATACTAAAAGTTGTCTAGTATGGTTTCTGTTGCACATAGCTTTAAGACAGAAAATGATCTTTTCCAAATGTTGACCTACAGACAAGCAACAGATTTGTTGATACATAGCCTACAACAATTCGGTTGACAACGTGTCTGTTGTACATTGCCTATTGCACACAGTTATCTTCAACAGTAGCTCCGGATGTATAAAATAGTGGATCAAGTAATAACTAGGACACCGTTGGCAAAATAATTATCACCAACCTACATTTTCGTCATATGAAAATTCCTATAGACCAGTATCCTAGGTCCACTTAGAGTTTGTTACGCGTTAATATTGCAGCCAAGATGTCACCAAAGACAGCAACCAAGTCTTGTTTTTGTCATCAACTTTAAGATGGACAACCAGTAATTGATCAAGATTCAAAGTCTCTTGTAAACCAATAAAACATGGATATAGAATAAATGCAAAGGTTACTAAATGCAATGTCGAAAATTATAAATTTACACCAGAATTAAAACCATGCAAGTTAAAGCATCGACATCATATACATGTACTTCTCAAAGTAAATTATACCCATTTCTTTGAGTCGAAATTAATAATGGTAAAATATAGGGACTGCTAAGGCTTCATCTCTACAACTGTGATGAAATTTGGACACCCATCGACGGTATAGACAATTTCATTGATCGTTTTCAAAAGTGCATAGCCTACATGCAATCATTATTGTACCGTCTCTTAAGCAGGCCATTAATCTTTATCGTAAGTTGCCCTCGGCAGTTAGACATATAAAAAGATGTTAATGTTGCATTTTACAATTTTACGTGCTTTAAAGCCCAGGAGAATCCCAAATAGGGCAGGGCAAAAGGCAGAGCACGGACAGGATAATCACTAAAATGATACATAAGAAGAAATAATTTGTAACTGATAAGGAATTCAAAGAAAACAAATAAATGATTGAATAATAGGCCAACAAATTTAAAGGGCACATGGGAAGGGGACAGGAGACCCGGGGAAAGGGGCGTGGGTAAATTAAAGAAATATAACTAGGGGCAAAAGGGAAGATACTTACTGTAGACAATAAAACAACAAGGGACACAAACAAAAGTGTCCCCAAAAAGTATGAAACAACAAAAAAATCTGGAAACAAAGTGATCCCTCGGAAGCATTAATCACAACAGAATAACAGGAGAATCGCAGACTCGGTTTGATTGAGTCTGTACATGAGGGATAATGAATACGTGCATAATCCCTCACGTCCCATAGCACCGGCTTGAGCGGTACGAGCGGTACTCTATTCTCAACACCTAAAAGTGCTGGCATCAATGATCCCGAAGGACCAGAAAAATATAACAACACTGAAGTGAAGTACGGGGCAACTTTTTACGGCTGCCACACAGCACTAGACACCTGCTGTTGTGAAGTTAAGACATACATATGAGGAACACAAAGGGGTCAGCAGCATAAGTACTGCTGGGGAGTTTAAACCGGTAAATGGTGTTCCAAACCTCACGCTTAGTCCCGCCATGTTCCTATAAACGAGACAGGGTAAATAATATGAGTCTCTGCCAAGTAAAATTCAAACAGTTGTCATGGTTACAAAACGTGAAATAAGTAAAACACCGAAATGCTCATGTAGTAACATATAAACATATAAAAACCCAATGACCATAACAAAAGTACACCTACAAGGGCCCGATGAAGCAAGGCAGAAGACGAACATTAAGGCAATTCAGTCCCAAATGGCTTTTACCCAAAATGATGTAAATATTAAATTCCTTTGTAAAAATTCAAATGTAAGGATTGCAAGAAATATTTAAAGACAAATCGTAGTTCAGGAAAAGTTAAGCCAGTGTTTCCTCGTCATTTACTTATATCCTCCAAGTATTAATGTGCAATTTTATATAATGTAACACAACACCTTTCATTAGAGTAATGTTTATCAAAGAATAATCGAAACGAACGGAAAGTCTTGCACCATTTACACACAATATTGTTATAAACGTAGGTAAGATATGTTGGTATTATATTTCACTTAAGATATTATTCTTACAGGTTTATCCATATATCACCCATTGTCGCTCTGTTCACGTAACAGGACACTAAAATAGCGAATAGTATCAAAATATACAAGATTAATTTCTGAGATAAAATACTGTAACACAATTCATTAATTTCACATCCTATAGAAATATGTAATACAAAATATATTAAGATTATATCTTGTAAAGAAATAGCTTCCCTTATTAATATCACAAATAGGATTCTGTTCATAAAAAGTAATATGAAATTTAGATAAAGTCATCATAAAAGTTTTAATGCTTTTTGACAATATAGATCTAGTATCATATTGTAAAACTATTCTTAACTAATGTACACGCTGTGCCGATAATTTTATTTGTATGCACTTAATTTGTATGCATGGATATGTTAAATTTTCAGTTTTATTTAAAAGAAATTCTTTCTTTTGATAAAAAAACAAGAGTTACTGATTGAATAAAGATATCAACATTTTAAAATTTCAAACACGCTAAAAATAACAAAGCCAGGACGGGTTTTAAAATTAATCTATGAATAAAAAAGTAAACAGTTTCTCTGTCGTATAACTTAATAACCTTTTTTTAGAATGATAATTATTATATTTGTGTACTCTAAATGAAATCCCAAGACATAGCAATTAATGAAAGTAGAATCTAGACCTTTGTAGTGCTGAAGAACGATTGGGAAGTTTTATTATTTTAGATATATATCTACGCCCGAGATGACAGACAGGCATCCCACTGATTGAATGGGGTACAGTATTATGAGGCTTCATAAATATCATTGCTGCTATGCTTTTCACAGTCGCAACATACAGTTTACATATATAAGTATTTATAGTATAAAAACAAAACAATTTAAGATGAATATCGAAATATTTATTTAAATAGTGCTTTTTAAAACATTTGTAAAGCTTCAGTAACTAAATGCAATCATGTGTGCGATATATGCTATTTAAAGTGACAATTATACTCATTTTTTGTCAAGTTGAGCATAACTGACTATATATTCCAAAAGATAGACTGTTATAACGGTAATTCACCAAAAAGTAAAACTTGAGAACATTTAGGATAAAATATAAATCTGTCTAAATATATAATTAAAACTTATAAAAATTTATAAATTAAAACGTTACAGATAAATTCTAGTTGATATTTACAGAAATGTCATTGGAACACGTGAGTCACTTATCGTTCATACAAAGAAAAATTTAAAAAATAAATGAAATAATGGCAAAATGTAAACTTGTTTTGACGTTCATCTGTTCATAAACTATATGCCCTTGGATGAGCATAATGTCACTTTAATCTTAATTCCCCGATAAGTGCTAGATCATGTAAAGGGAAACAACAAAGCCATAAGTTAATAATTTCATCTTAACATTGTTACACCACTTATGAATAAATAATATAAAACATTAACATATCAACGGCAAATCATGATACGTTGAACGAAGAGTAAAATTCTAAACCTGGATGTGAACTACTCTTAAACAACAGGTGGTTACAAAACTACAGGTTTTTGAGTAGCTTTCATAAATTACTTTTTTTTAAATCTTAGTTACCATCTACAAAGTAAGTGGTGTGTTATTAAAAACTGAAGGTGCTAGGGAGCATGGAGGGTAGTTTGCAATTACAACTACCGTCCATGAACAGGCTCATTCAAACCGAGCCTGCAATATTCTTCAATTTTGCCGTGTTCGGCTTTCTTTAGAGACTCTGTTTTTCTCTATATTATTTTGTTCGAATGAAACTTTTTATTGGAAGAAAAAGTACCATAGGATTTCAGTCACAGGAACGCTAGAAGTAACTTTGCTGAGTAAACACGTCATTTTTGTAACCATGGTAAAACTTAATTAAAAAAAGGAGGAATTACATATTTTTATTCTTTGGTTGCAGTCGTTGTTGACAGTAAATGCATTAGGATATTCGGATACAGGATTTAAATAAATATTGTCATTATAACATTTCCTGACATTCATTTTCTTCTAGACTAATATCATTTTAAGGAGGCATACAGTGTCCAAGGTTCATATCTCATTGGATTCCTTTTTCCTTTTCTTGTTTTCTTTCAAGAAGATAAATATTGAAATTCAGATAAACATGTTTGAAAGAGGTTGGTATTTTTAATGATTTTTTGCCCTATTCAAATATTGAAAGCGAACACAAGTATTAATGCCCTGGTGAAAGTAATTTAATGTTATAACACAATGCTATAACCTTAATTAAAAACTGAAAACAAGATCTGAACTAACTAACAATTGATTTTATTGTATTTTATTATCAGAATATTTTTAATCATGTGCATGACTTTGCCATTATTAAATTGTTTTTAATACAGAATCTTTTATTACTTTTATAGTCATTGTTGCCTTTAGTTATTGATGTCAGTTATTTGTTCAATATTAGATTTTTATGTACTATTTGACATAACAAAGAAACAGTTCCACGAATAGATTCAAGTGGTCTTCAGACTCCTTATCAGACAATGACTCTACAGACTTGCTTACAGAATCAATTGTGTAATATTTGTTCCAGCAATATTTGCACTTTTCACGCTTAAAACTTACAGTGCAAATGAAAACAACAATATATTTATACAACAAATATCTATACAAGTATCAAAGTCGATATTTGTCGACTTTGATACTTGCATAGATATTTGTCGGCTCAATCAAATCGAGCCTGCAACATTTTCCATTTTGCCGTGTTGGGCTTTCTTTAGGGATACTATTTTTCTCTATATTATTTGATACTTGTATAGATATTTGTCGACTTTGATACTTGCATAGATATTTGTCGGCTCAATCAAATCGAGCCTGCAACATTTTCCATTTTGCCGTGTTGGGCTTTCTTTAGGGATACTATTTTTCTCTATATTATTTGATACTTGTATAGATATTTGTCGGCTTTGATACTTGTATAGATACTTTGTTGTTTTTATTTGCTCTGTCACTTTTTTATTAATCAAGTGCTTTAAGTTTCTTTTAATTGTTAAGCGATTATGAACATGTTATTTCAAACAGTACTTTCTTACATTTCTCTAATTTATTGATTTTTAAAAGTAGACACAACATTTTTTCTTTATTTACTTTAGAATTCTAAATACTATTTATGATATGCCATTTTTATAGTAACTTTTATCTAACTAATTATAACTAGATATTTCATAATAAATTTCCAAAACAGTTAATTTTTTTTGGCTGTTATTTCATTTTAAATTATCGCCGATATTATATTATGTTAACAATATTAAGTATTTCACACACATTTACGTGCGCACACAGACAAACGCACACATGCGCGCACGCATCCTTTCAACGACGATAACCTATGTTTTGAATGTTACCAACCGTTATGTATATTTACACAGATATAGATCGGCTGTGACCAGGGCCTCGATTACCCATCCCATAAAATATGATTTACGGTCCATTTAGACAAATTCTAAACACAAATAAAATCACTCTCCAATATTATCTTCTTTCATCTATTGTATCTTCAGTGTATTTAAACATTTGACCCTTGCCTTTAATCGATTTGTACACATTGTCATTGAAGGTTTTGAAAGGATTTATTTTTTTTAGAAATTTTGTACATATTTGCTTTCAATGTATCACTGCAAACATCGATTTATTGGATACGAATGAATTCATGCGGAACTAACGAACGGCAAAATTTACAGAAGCTGGCGTTCTCATTCTTTGCTTATCAAATTATTCAATTTTGATTAGTTCAGGGAATCAATGTTATTAATAACACAGATATATAACTATTGAAGCGATGAAAGTTGTAGGGAACGTATTTCTGAAGTTTTATGTAAATATGTGATTTATTTAATGCTTAATGTCATGTGACAAACACAACTTGCGTGCAGGTTAAAGGCAATATGTAAATATGTAAGACAATAAATAAAAAAAAATTGAATAAAATGAAACTCGTCGCTGTTGTTATTATCTTTAATATCTTGAAAGGTGTCGTACTCCCCTCATTTCATATAAACAAAGATGGATTAGAAATACTTTATAATATAACGGATATTTCAAAATGTCAAGTTGGGGGTGATAGAATCCGGAGAAAATTTGGCTTAAGTTTGCCTGACTGTGTGGAAGAATGTGTGTTAAGACCTCGTTGTAAGACATTATGTTATTGGAGGCGCAGTCAAATCTGTGACCTTTATCCAACTTTTCAGCCAAATTTCAGCACTGGAGATTGCATTCGTGTCTCGGTAACAAATATAAGTGTAATGAAGGTAAGTTTGATTTACATCTGTAAAATATAATTAAATCTGTCATTATCAATATTTTTCTGTCCCATCGATATAATTTGGAAGAGAATTATGAAAATTGGTTTTATGTCCTTCCGAAACATCAGCTGGTTACTAAGGTGTCTATGAGAACAAACGTAAAGTGATAGTAGACATTATTTAATCAGTCAGTAATAATTTCATATTAAATTTTAATCAATCTTTTACGTGGCTTAAAGAAAAAAAATGGGAGAACAACAGAGTATTCACGTAAGAAATTAGAGATAATCGTCTGTACGTAAATGTCGAGGAGACATAAGAGGGTGTAGATTTGAGGACAGCGAGGACATTATGAGGACATTATGTGATTCTTTCCATTTCAATTGGCCAAGTGCGATTATTTTTGCTTTATAGGGCTACAAAACAGTTGTAGGATTAGAAAGCTAAAGGTATAAAAACACTAAAGTGACAGATCTTGGAAGGACGTTGGTCCGTCCTTCCATTCATATTGATATCTAATACCCGCTATTTTGAGTTAACATAATTGAATATAACCAACTATGGCTCGCCAAGTGCCGTTATATTCAATTGATGGCAAATGCATTTTTATACTAAATATTATTCTGAGTCATTTTTTACAGTTGGTAGACTTGATTACATTAAAATTAAATAAGAATGTATAATATTAAAAGGAAATTATTAATGAACAGGTCATCAAATACTATCAAAATATTAATATTAAGTTATTGCCCTTTAAAACACAGGAACTATTAAAGGCCATTTCTCAAAACGGATGTGAACGATATTAATTGATATTGTCATAAATAAGTGTTTTAATTCTCATTCAATTATCTCTAATTAAGAATAAATTGGAAACCTTTAAGAAGAACAAAAACAGTACGTTTAAATTTTTGTAAACTCGTTGTGTTCAAGCTAAAGTGTAAGCCATCATTTACGGTCCTTTAGCACCGGCTTTAGCAAAACAATTTGTCTGAGACATCTCTATTGTGTGGGCTTTATCATTAAGAAAACAAATAAAGTTTTATTTTTCACTCATATTCTGAAGTACACCGTACAAAGAAATTTCAACAAGCAACAAGTATAGCACGGTGGTGAATATCAGTATCAATCAAACGTTTGTATGTTTTGATCTCCATACATTGTATATATTACAATTAATACTTGTTATAAAATTCGGTAGCCTAATGTCTTCTAATTCTATGAAAACTATATTGTGCTTTGTCTAAATTTATTTACTTAGCAAATAGACAACGTATTTCATAATATCTCTTCTAGTAATATTTGAAAATGAAATATATTCGAACCATAACTTATTGTTTAAGATGTTTGCGTTGCATGTATATCTTTCAAAAGAACTGACTTGCAACAGTGAATATTACTTTTAGTCTAAAGGACTTTAGTGTTCTTCATGTCTTTATATTTTAGAAAATGATAGAATAAGTTAAGTGCAGACTATTCAGGATATTGTAGGTTGGCGTCTGTTTATTTGAAACTTATGCATGCAAGCGCAACATATATATTAAACATGTTAAATATCATATTGAATATTGAACATAATATTCCATGAAACATCTTATGTTTGCTGGAAAAATCCATGTTTTGATCTCCAAACATTGTATATATTACAATTTATACTTGTTATAAGCATTGTACTATGCTTTATACAAATAAACTTTTCGTATTCGTATTCGTATTCGTATTCGTGTGTTGTTATTGTTTTATTGTCATTTTAATATATCTTCCCTATCTTTTCTAACGTACGTCAAACAAACGCTAATGTAAGCTTATATTCTAGAAAAAAATGCTTATTTGTTTATTTTCTGAATGTTTACAATACATCATGTAAATGGAAATTTCAACAGCAAGTTAAACGTTTGTCTCGTAGTGTCTGGTACATGGAGTGAAAACATATCGAGAAAATAAAATGTACGACAATAACACATTACTAAAAGCCGGAAATTGTTCTTGACCAATATGTGACCTGAACAATTTACGTTCTTCAAGCTCTTTTTTTTACTGAATCAATCCAATAATTCCCATTGAACAGGCAAAATGAAAGTGTTATTGGAATATATTTACAACAATACAAGATTGTACAATATTTAAAATTAATATTTCATAAAAAGTAAATTTGTCATATCTTTAGAACCATATCTTAACCATATCTTAATCACTATTATTGTCACAACTATGTAGATACATGCACACTTTAACCTTTAAAATCGAATTGCTTATTGTATTTCACATTTAAAATCACTTTTCATTGAATATATTAGCATTGATTCAGAATTAAAACTAAAATGATTTATATAATATTGTTACAATATTTTTTACAGATGCCATGCGATAGCTGTGCAAGTGGAAAGTTCTGTGAACAATTTTCAAAAACCTGCACGTACTCAGGTAAGACAAAATATTAAAGCTGCATGTCTCCAAAATATTTCAAGAAAATCAAAATTGAGCAAAATGAAATAAGATTTATAAATAAAAGAAAGATACAAGATTCAAGTTATAATTTGAATGTAACGTTCGATGAGAGACTGATTTTACAATATTTTTTACCATATTTTTAATGCTGGACTAACACAGTATCGGCTATTTTTTGCATATATTTTTTTTGGTAATTAACGTGAATCGTCAGTACCATTTGAAATCTGTAAATTACTCACTTTGTTCACTTCACAATATTACGAAAGACCGGTGGGGACATTTCAACTTCATGAATTCACGATTTCAACTACACGAATGTATGTTTTCAACTCACGAATGCACGATTTTAACTTCGTGAATTCATGATTTCACCTTCACGATTTCATCTTTATGAATTCAAGATTTCAACTTCACGAATTAACGATTTCAGTTTCGTTATAATATAAAAAAGAACACACGACTGTCTTTACAACTGAATGAAAAGTATTATTGATAAGTTATTGTGCCTGAATTGTTATCATACATCGCCATATATTAAATCTGGGATAGTCTATTTAAAATAAATTAATTACAATGTCAAACTACAAAAACTGAACTACCATCGGTATAACGCTTTTAAATACTGCAGGGGCATATCATTTTCCTTTGCTGAAATAAACTTTGCCATGGCGTGTTGTTTTAAAACAAACTTCGTCAATACATTTTGAAATTTTTGAAAATTTGGTGACTGGATAGTTAATTTCAAAACATTTTGTTACATAAAGTATAATATTTAATTGAATAGAGACCAATTAAGGGACACAAAAACTGTGTCGTTACTTATTAATTGCAACAATTCGTTTCATTTAATATAATAAAGTTAAACTTTGCGTCAACAAAAATGTAGTCAAGAAACACGTATCTATCAAAAAAGTACATCTACGCAAATTGAATGACAACAAAAATGGCATGGCTTATTGATCTGCAACAAAAATATAATTAAATTTAACAAGGTAGGCCCTAGCATATTGGACAATTTTTAGGTTGGTTATGACATTTTCAAACATCAATAGAGATAAAATGGCTTTTTGAACTACCATGAATTAGAAATGGCACATTTCTTTCTTACAAAGAAGATCTAAATCATGTCATGTTCATTTCAACAAAATATGATGCATGCAAATAATTAAACGTACCTGGTGACTTATTGAACTTCTAGAAAAATAGTGGTTACATAATGAATTTCAAGTGGGCACATTTTCCGTAAGTGTTTCAAATATTGATTAAACCGATAGACAGGTATTATTTGGATAATCTTATGAAATATTTATGGAAAACATTTATGAAATGGTATTAGAGATCTTCCATTATATACATATTCTGTTATTTAAAGAAAGGCAAACAAAAACAATGAAACTAATGATACCAATCACATCAATAAAAATGACAACATTTCATTTTCCTTAATATTTTTCTGCTTTAGAATGTCCCAGTCAATCAATCGACACTGTTGTTGTTCTTGGAAACGTCAATGCTGTAGGAAGCAAGATTAGATATAGATGTGCGGCAGGGTATGACTTTACAGGCGGTGAAAGGTACAGTGTATGTAAGCCTGATGGTCAATGGAATGCTACTGCTAGCTGTACACCACAGAGAGCTGGTAAACAATTAATATGAAGTTCATATTCATTGCAGTTTTTGCTTGTAATACTCTTGTTAAATACTTTTTTCTTGATTATTTAAACAGCAGACACTTTTAAAGTGTTGATTCAATCATGTTGACTTTAAATATTTTTTATATAATAAGTCGCGAAGAACAGCTAATTGGTTCAAATATACACAGAACACATTAGTACATTACATTAGAAAAATGCACACAACGTTACATTTGTATAGAGTTTAAGTCCTACATAGTTATTAAATTATTACAAAAGAAAATATTTGAACCATTTTTTTCCTTTAATTATTCGGTTACAATTATTAATATAGATACTTTATTAAAGCAGGGAACTCCCTTTATTAATTTAAATCAGTAAATTTAAAGCAATGTGAAGATATTATTTAAATGGGTAAAATCTATTCAAGATTGTGGACCTCCGCCAGCTATTCCTAATGGAGTTGCGTTGCTTAGTAATCTAACTGGTACGTTATCCGGAGATACAGCAACCATCATGTGCAATGATTGGTACCAATCAAAAGTAACAACTATTTCATGTAGTAACCTGGGAGTATGGCAAACTGCCACATGTGCAGGTATGTTTTTACTTTTAAACACAACCTAAATGTTTCCTGTATAACACTTTCTACATTTTTTTTTAATGCAAATGAACTGCACAGGCTATCGATAAACATTAATACCACACAGTATTTTATATGTCCTATTGTTTGTTTATATCTAAATCGATTGTATTGATAAGATTTTTATGTTATTATCTGCGAGGACAAAGGTGAATTATATCAGTTGATCACATTGACATGTCTACTTGTAGATTTAAAAAGTTAAATGTGGCAAGCGGTTTTGGCATACAAATAGTGTTGCTTTATGTGTCTATAAATGTTTTTAAAAAGTATCTGTTACTATGATAAACTCAATGAAAGCAAGTATTGAAAAATGTGTTTCTGGTAAATAGTTGTTTTTAATAATCTTTGCATTTACAATATTCCTATTAATTATAATTTAACAGTCTCAAACAAAAAGGTTTTGAATTATAAATTTAAAAAATAACATATGAGCCGCTTCACGACAAAACCAACGTGATGCGTTTGCGACCAGCATGGATCCAGACCAGCCTGTGCAACCGCGCAGTCTGATCAGGATCCATGCTGTTCGCTTACAAACCCTATAACAAGAAGAGAAACTGATAGCAAACAGCATTGATCCTGGTCAGACTGCGCGGATGCGCCGGCTGGTCTAGATCCATGCTGGTCGCAAACGCACTATGTTGGTTTTGTCGTGACGCGGCTCATATATTTTCTTTAATTTGAATTTGTTTGTCAATGCTGAAACTGAAATGGCGATGCGTGTCCTAGGTTTAGAAATATTTTCCTTAAAGATCCTGTAACAGAATTTTTATGTTTTTTTATCAAAGATATGAAGCTAAAATTAAGATTTATCAATTTAAAATAAAAAATTCTATGAAGACTAAGTCAAATTTTTCAATAAGTAATGAATGCATATATTTTAATGATTACATATAAAATGTACAAATATTTGCAGTAAATATTTTACATATTCTTCGATGTTTGAAAACTGTTTTAGAAGCATGAGTATATACATATTAATATATATAATTTCATTTAAGTTTGATATACAACCTCAATTACAACATAAGATATCTTTAAAAATTTGTATTCCCGATTATTAGATACCATTTACAGTGTACGACATTAATAATGTAATGCGTCACTAAAATAACTCCTAGAGTTATCGATTTCATATACCTTTAAATCTAGAAGCGATAAGTAATGTTAACAAAAAAGTGATCTCAACAAAACAATCATGTATGTACCTTGTAAAATTTGGTCGTTTCTTGTCAGTTTTATTCTTATTCGTCCATAAAAAATGGATAAATTAAAAATAAAATATGTTGTTGTTTTAGATTGCTACCTCACTACATCAAGAGCATATTCAGGGTTGACAGCTAAAACAATAACAGGAAAGACTTGTCTACGATGGGACGCTTCTATAATATCCCTACAGTCCTTTCATGGACCCAGCCCTCTTTCCTGAGTCAACGCTTCAGCAGGCGAATAATTACTGCAGAAACCCCGATACTGCGGAACATCAGCCCTGGTGTTATATAGACTATCTCACCAACTGGGAATACTGCGACATCAAAGAATGCATTTGAACCATGTGTGTTTTTAGCTCATATATTCCGGATGATTATTATTTATTTTTAATGGTCAAAATTTATTTCAAACAGACAATTGTATTTAATATGGAAAGTTCATTGACCAATGTGTACAAAAGTCCGAATAAATTGCACACAAATTTAACACAAAAATTAATAAAGCTAACGCAATACCAGCAAACACTAACTACCGATATATTTTCAATCAATTAAAAAAGTAAATTTACCGCGCAATGGTCCCTGTATGACAACACTCGTTGGTAATTTTATCAAAAAAATCAAACTCTGCTTGTCATTTAACGCAACAAGCGTAAATAAATGATGGAAAGGGACCATAACCGTTTGAAGGTAAAACAAAAAGGAAAATAAAATGATGAAGCACCATTAACACGTTTTAAAATTTGAAAAAACAAACGACTTCGAAAAATAACATTAATATATTCAGAAAATTTAACACTTTCCAGCAGAAAACTCACCGTTTTGGAAATGACAATGATATACGATCGTGATACAACTACAAACAACTAGCATTTAATATAGTACTGTAGCTGGATCGATCACTATCATTTAGGTAATAAACAATAAATAAAAAGTACCAATGGGTATAATATTCAGCGGAGTGAAAATTTATTGAACATTATGGCGTAAACGTAAAACCAATGATTACGCATGGTAATAAGACGGCCATCACAAGATGGAAACGATGAGCGATAAAACCATTTTAATCATCATTGATCTATATAAAAATACTAACACTTATGTTTTATTTAAAATTGAAATTCAATAAATATGACATTACTTACGAGCTATGAGAACTATGAGTATTACAAAATTAATGCAATACAAGTACAAATCTGCAAACATGTTTTATGGAGATGATGAAATGATGAAATGTGCAACATCTCACATCCCTGCAAGCACTGGATTAAGCGTGATTCTTTCCTAAAAAATGCGACTTAATGCTTGATTCAATCCTCAACAGTAACTGTATTAGGATCCCAAAAATAAACACTTAGATGATGGACAGTGTAACCTTTAACAGCTGCCACACAACACTTGTGAGCATACAATTTGAAGGGTGGTATGATGTCCGGTGGTTGAAGATTCTTTTAAGCAATGATGGAGTAATCAGATAACAAAAATATAAAATAAAAAAAAACAACAATAATTTTTATCATAAAGGTAAAACACATGTTATATTATACTTTAATACAAGTGGTTTGAAAGATTAATTTAGTCATCATATCTGGAAACATTT